ATGGAAATGTGGGTAGATAACACGTTGATATAATTACGGTATATCATTCATGGAAATGTGGGTAGATAACACGTTGATATAATTACGGTATATCATTCATGGAGATGTGGGTAGATAACACGTTGACATAATTACGGTATATCACTTATGGAAATATGGGTTGATAACACATTGACATAATTACGGTATATAATTCATGGAAATGTGGATTAATAACACATTGACATACTTACGGTATATCATTCACGGAAATGTGGGTAGATATCACTTATGGAAATAGGGGTTGATAACATTGACATGATAGCGGAAAATCATGAACGGAAATGTGGGTTGATAACACTGAAATAACAACGGTATATCATTCGTCAAAAGCGTTTTTTCAGTGATAGGGACAATTCTGAAATGTAATCGGATATATGGTACTACGACTAGAGTAAAACGGTAATAGAAAAAAACTGATTTCAATCGAATATTCTCTCTGGGCGAGTTTCATGTTTAAAACTATCAATAAAATATGTATAGTGTTATTCGATTGAAAAACAGATGAGACATAATCAATTAAATAGCGTTCTTTAAATACCCAGAAGAGGAAATAATGAAATATTTAGACACATTTTTTTCCCTAATAAAAAAGAGATATACTACAGAACACGGTTGATAAAAAGGCTGTCTGACAACTTGTACTGGATGTGTTACCCCGCATCAAAGAAACGTTTTCATACTGGTCGGTTGCTACCCTTCCTGTGTAGTGCGTTGGAAACCTGTACAGGTAGATTAATTAGATACAGGTCTGATCTAGTCAATATTCGCGTGATGGGGTAAATCAGCTATCGTGGGAGACAGGATATCAATTAAGAACATACGATTGATATCTATGTGGATAAACATGCTAAAATCACATCTGAAGCTTCGATTGTCTGGCAGTCTAATCTTACATATACCCTTTATATCATACATCAGCTTTAGTTTGGATGGCATGTCGGTAAATCATTGAATGACCATATATTACAACAAGGTCGCAACTATAAGGAAGCATGCCTGACTACTTATAGATGTACACTGTAGTGGAATTATGAAATATGGAACAGTTTGGTAAAATAGACATTTGACAAAGCTCACCGTTGACGAAAACAAACAACTTTAACAAAAATGACATAAGAAAAAAAAGGAAAACATCACTGAAGCAACAGTACAAGGTGTACAATCACGTTCAATCCGATCACATATATATTTGGTTGCGTGTATCATTTATCACGTTAACCTTAAATTAGAGTCTATATACTATATTTTCATCACTGCAAAATTATTTCACAAAATCTCACACATTTCTCTGCTAAATTTACATCATTGCCATTCACACCATCGCTAAAATATCTATAACATATGCATATTATCAACTCATTTTAGCAATACTATAACATATGGAAATCATCACTGCCATTTCCCTTATTTCACAATACGTGTAACGCAAAATTAAATATGACAACTGATATACTTATATGATCGCAAGTCTACATATAAAAGTGAACGCAATGCTGGAAACGCATATTGTAGAGGCATGCGCTCACGTAGTTTCAAGAAAGAAATATACTTATTGTATTTACAACATCAAGCTAAGTATCACACATTACGTATATGTTGCTAAAGCACAAGATAAGTCAACATTGCAACCTTCATGTGAATCAATAACTATTCCAAAACCGCATGCCAAATTATAAACATAAATGGTCGTCATTTACACACTTACTGTCATGTGTAAGGGGGGGGGGGGCATCATTATTCCGTCTTTGCGTATTTATCTTCGCTTGTGAACAGGTATTGATTGTTACGTCATTGGTTTGTGTGAGAAAATTACGTCGTTTTCTCAAAAATTGATGACGTTGCTCTCACAAACAAATGACGTAACAATCAATACCTGCTCACAAGAGAGGATAACTCTGCAATACGCAAAGACGGAATAAAGGCTAAACAATCACAATTAGACAGCTGACAGTTTCCCTGGTTACAGGAAGTTCCATGGGTTACTCACCCTTTGTTACGTGTTCGGGAAGAGGATTAGTTTGACCGCTCAGCATTTTGTTGTACAGGGTTTTTATATTGAAGGGATCAACAGTGAAAGGCAGGTTCCCAGTCAGCATCGCATACATATTCACACCTCTGAAAAGGTAAATAAACACAATAACGTCACCGTTCTCCTTCTTTCTTCTGCTTTTCTTAAGACAAAATTGCAGTATATATGGTAGTGCGGATCTGATCCTGACTTTAAAGTGCTTATTCACTATTATACCAAGCCGATGAAATCCAGCACAGTATAACACCTAGTCACACTACACTGCCAAAGGGTAAACCAGTCCATACCGCTACCCACCTAAATCTGAACATCCAGCAGAGAGCAGAATGTTCCACATTCAAGTGTTTTTTGTCAGTCAAGGTGACAGAATCGAACCCACAACCGTCTTTGTTTGGCGCTAACACACAGATTCATGTTATTCAAAAATGAATCGTGGCTAGCGATACTGATTTAACTATTTTAAAAGTTAGTAGTTCATGTTAACTTTTAGACAAAAACAATACAAAGATAGGAGAGATATAAAATAACATGATTTACAATAGACGTTGTGATATGAACTTTATTTCATTTAGAAATGTTAACACAGTAACAGGCTGTGTGTTAATCTTGTAAAAAAACATCTGGTAGGATGGAGTTCGTGATGATGGATTATATTTCGCTTGGCACAGCCTTTAAATATTTATTTTTTATTTTAGTCTGTTTAAAGTAACATCTTATGTTCTGATATATACCGCGGTATACATTTGTAATATCAAACTTTCTACGTCATATCTTTGTATATTAACATTCATATAAATAATAAACTCAGTTTTATTAAAAGGATCACTGACATTTTCCCAAACCCTTTCTTGCTTTATTACCATCTATATTCGTCTACTGTAATAGGTTAATTTCATTTTGGGCGTGGTTCTCAATTAAGCAGAAAAATTGCAATTCACGTGAGACTAAACATGTAACCGATACTGTTTATGCGCCTGGTACTAATTAAGGGCGACCTCTATATGTAAACAACAAAGACAGGAGTGCCCCTTCGCATGCTTAGTCATATACAACATCTACCTGTATGTTCTTATGATTCAATGATATACATATCTAATGAAGTAACAGGAGCTTAGGACTGTATTGTTCATGTACTCTACGAGACATTTTGCTATAGAAATGCAACGAAATTGTACATAAATGACATTTTTTTTATTATCCACTGCTAAATAAAAAAAAGAAAAGATGCTCTAAAACACGAACATCATTTAAACTGCAAAGCAAGTAAATATGAACCAATTTTCAGTTTCGTGTACGTTGTTCCGATAGACAAAAATAAGTTCGGCTTCGTTTACAATTGATGATTATACAATAATGTTTGTGATGTGAACAACATTATATTGCATTTTATTCCTCTATGTTCTTTTTGTGATGTGAAAATCATCATAATGGGTAAAATATGGTTTAGATACGTGATGTACATGTATTTATAGTCTAATCAGCGACGGATATTTCGAGGAAAGTATCGGTAATATATCAATGTAGTTGTCACGATAATTCGCCACAATCGTTCTATTTATAAGTATAATACGTTCCGTATCTATTGACTAAAGTGTTGTGACATAACAAGTGGTGACCTTGGTTTTGGACGAATATAAACAGTGTCATAAGGCCACGGTGACTTTCTGGTATACTAGGTCATTGATAGTGTACCATAATTGCTGATAGAGTGATCGTAACAAATAAGTAAATTATTCATGTGCTGATATTAAGTAAATTCTCTGTGGAATATTATCTCTATTTGTCCGTTACATTTAACTTCCGGGCTGTGTTGCTAGCGTTAAACATCCTTATGTAAAATCACATAAAAAATAGAATATTTGAAACCAGCGACCTTTAATCATGGGAACTGATTAAACATTTCAATCATAGAGATAGAAACGTCGTGTCGGAATACAGTAAGGGCACATTTTGGAAATACTATATTTGACATCGTTTAAAGTGTTTACCAAGATGAAAAGTGAAAAAAAAACGCGATAACTTCTCCAGTAAAAATTTCCGAAATACCTAACGAGCAAGGTTGTCTCGATATATATTAATAATTGAGTAGAACTGTATTCTTGAAACTGTTGTTGATCTACTCTCATCAACAAGTTCTTGGGGTTTACATAGGTATTGACCCATGGGAACTGTTTTACACTGCCATAAATAGTCAAGTATATCGTTCTGTTATCCAACAAGTAATACACAGGATATTGTTTATTTATATACACGCCATGCTTTTAGTATAAATTGACGTCACGGTTCATTGGAGTTATATTTACTACAAAAGGATTTGTTTCATGTATTATATTTGACGTAATAAGTCATTCTGTGCGGTATTGTTTTCTTTTATTCTTTGCATTTTTGCATTTATCCTTCAAAATTATATTTACAGATACCCTAAGGCTTTCGAACTAAATGTGTAGGTATCTGTAAATATAATTTTGGAAATAAATGCAAAAATATATTGAAACAACTACAAAGAAATAAAAGAAAACAATACCGCACAGAATGACTTATTAGGTCAAATATAATACACGAATAAAATCCCTTTGTAGTAATCATAACTCCAGTGAACCGTGACGTCTTTGTTAAGTATACTAACAGCATGACGTGTACATAAATAAACAATATTATGCATTTTAAATCTTCTTATAATCTTAGGGTTTGTTTTAGATACATTCAATGATCCGACAAATTGGTAAATGTTTAATTGCAAATTGTTTGGTTCAAAATATAAACGTGATTGATATAAAAAAAATCGTATCTATGGAACCTAATGGTTTGTTTCTACATTTATTATTTATTTGGTAGTACTAAAACGGTCGGGGTTATGAACATGACATTCATTAATTATGCATTTGTGTACGCATTAGCAGCGCACATATAGAAAATGACCCAGAAACTCAGTAGACTGTACACTAAACAGGCGACATAAATTCCATAGAGTGCAATGAAGAAGTAAGAAATAGAAACAACACCTCAGTTATAGATATTTCACTTCAATGTATTCATTCACCTACGCTCTCTTTTTGCTCGCAGTGATAAATTGCTTTTATTTCCTGCGTACGGTGTACCTATATATATATTTATATTTTGTTTTCCGGCTTTTTTCGTGGGGGTTTATGATTTGTAGCGAAGAGGAAAATAACATACACAATACTTCTGTTACAAATATTTTATATCACTGTATCCATATGGTCTTTTTATTGCATGTTCCTATTTGCTTTGTTTCCTGACGGTTTGGTTGGGGATCATGATATCTGTTTGTTTTGGTGTCTCCTAGGTTCCCGTTGTTGGCTTTTTATATTGACTTGAAAATTTATCCCCTGTGTATTGATGACGTGGTATTGTTCTGTGTTAATTATTTGCTGTTTCAATTCTATTTTTTAGAATGTGAAAGGAATTCATATTTTGAGAATAAATGAAAAATATAAATAAAATACAAATGAAAATGGTTATCCGTTATATAATTTTTCCTATTTGTCTAAGAATTGAGACATTACCGGAAGCAGAAGACGTTTTTAAAGACAAAGAGTGCTTTACTTCCCGATTTGAACTCATCGTGTCCTGTATGTTTTACCAAAGATTGTGCAAACTTGGAAGAAGTTCTGTTGAACGCATCTGCATCATTTCTATCTGCATGTAATAACCTTATTTGTACGCTCTTTCTTATCGCCGATGTCTCCCTAGGCAACCGTCTTTCATTGACAAATGACAACATGGACTACATTTGGTTAGCCCAAATTGGGAATGGGGTAGTCATATTTATGTTGTCGAATGTTAAACAAGAAAACTTACATGCTCCAGACATCTACTTGAGGACCATACTTTTTACGCCCAAGAAGTTCCGGTGCTGCGTAAGCAGGACTTCCACATTGTGTGTTTAAATATTCCTGCGCACGTACAGAGTCTTTAGAAGAAGAGACCTTGATTGTATTACTCAAACCGAAATCTAAAATAGGAAAGGGATTCTTGTTATGCAAAATAATAATATCAAAATTGTAACGATGTTCTTTTAAGTACCCATACCATTTCATTTGAAAGTAGACATATTCCTTATTGACAATTAACAAGCATTACATAACGTTTCGATAGAAGCATGGCTTATATCTGGGAGTAAGGACTAATATGGAAATTTGTATTGATGAACTCACCTATTATCTTGATGTCACGATTTTCATCTAGCAGTAAATTTTCCACTTTTAGATCCCTGAAAGTTTATCAAACACATGTTTAGTATTCATGTTCATATAAACATACATCTTATTAATCTTAGTGATATGTGACGTCATTTCACAAAGCGTAACTGAAACTCTTTCACTGATTTTTACAAAATATTTCACGATAAAAGTAGGGAACTGTAAAAGCTTTGTTCGAATTAATTTTGGGCCAGTTTACACTATGGTTACATGATATATTTATTCTATACTCGGCGTCGTCCGTCATTGTCATTCTTTCGAGGAAAAAGTTAATGTGTGAGGTTTTTTTTACAAAATATATAGGCTGCAATACGATAACATTTTCAGGTATGGAATACAAGCAAACACACACCTATTACCGGGGACAGCATATCTCATTCATTTGTTTTTTATAGACATATAGGTAAATAACATCTGTATGAAATAATCAAAACACTGTAGGAATACACTGAAAAATACTTTCAGGTAGACAAAATAAGAAGTAAAAAGTCATATTTAGAGGGGTTCTATTAGCGTATCGCACATTATATATTACCGTACTGAAAAAAGTTTCTCGAAGTTGTGAGCAAGTCTACAACAGTACAGCTTCGAAATGCATTGTGCTACTGAGGCAAACAGAGACGGATGTAAACAAGACGCGCACATCTATGCACAGAACTCGCTACTTTCTACGGGTCTTCCAGGTCTCAAAGCAAGTATAAATAATTAACTTGTTTACCCCTAAGATTAGCGTTTGAAAGCGTATTGATCACTTATAAAGCTAGACACTAATACAACAAATCAAGATAAGACTGTTGTGGAACGACAGTAAAATAAGACTCAAGGAAATGCCTTTGCTGGTGTCTGTGGTTTTAGCTCTTTGCTTTAAAGACACACCACACCGTAATGAGCCAGTCCAATTTAAAATCGTTAAATTGAGCTTTTACTGCATTTTTCGTAAAGTGCAAAGAATATAATCCCTTATAAAAATTGCTGTCAAAATATACTTCTCCAGTTTGATGTTAAATGCGTCTAGAATGTCTTACCTTTCACAAGAGTTGGTGGATACCTAACATACGGATATCAAACAATATTTGTCTTCTTTACACATGAAGCCTAAAGGATAAAATCTTAGCACCATGGACTAAAACTATTATTTGTCGTTTACAGCTTAGATGTGGCTTTAGTTGATAGTTTGCAAACTATGACAAACTTATTGAGAAAAATACACTTAATCTTCGCATTATCGTTTCCTTTTGTGGTAACATAGTAAATTATGAATTTGAAATTGACTTTTATTTTTTAAATGCATTGAAATGGTGCAACAACTATATTTGATCACAAATTAGTGACGAGAAACGACTTAAAAAGCTATTTAGATTTAAATGGGAAAAAAATCCCTTCAAGCAGTTCGTTCAATCAAAACCCCCTACTCTTTCATGCAACATATATAATAAGATAAATGTATACACGTATATGTATCACATTATATATATTTAGAATATGTTATCTTCAAAATATACATGTAACATTTCATTGCTCTATTATTATCGGGGATTATCAAACTCTTTAAATATTTCAATAAAGTTTATTTAACGACGAGGTGTTTGTTAAACTGAAGCCCCTAGTTGAGAAAAGTTAAGAACTATTGGTGATATTTCAATGTTTTGTTACATTTGGTTAGCATTGAACTATGTTCACGGTTTTTCAAAACATCCGACCTCAACATTTAAATATCTGCAAGCAGTAATGATTTTACAACAAGCGGTCTTATCTAAATGTTTTTTAGTGAATGTGCTGGTTCCTTTTCATCTTAACTACATAACAGTTCCTGTTGTCAAAGTTAAATGATACATATTTCGCTTAATACTATTAAATGTATTTATACTTTGAAGGCATATACAATCATTCTTCATTCTCTTGGTACAATATACCTTTGTGGTATGTTTCAAACAAATACAGCCTGCGTTTGATGTTATAATGTGCAGACCTTACACTCACTTTAAAAAATCATCAAGGGTTACAGAAAAAATCATCAGCAAATTATAATAATGTAAAATGTTTTAACCGAACAAACGCTAGACAAACGCAAAACAGCACACCAAAAGTTAATATAAAATTTACGTAACCTTAATAACGTTACGAGGAAAATATTAATGCTTTGCTTATATGTCCATATTAAGTAAGTACAATAAATTTACAGTACTTTCCGGCAGATTTTAGACTTATTGTGTGACTGAAATATGATACATAGTGTGTAAACTTGTCTGCCTTTCCTTTACTCAAACTGTTACAAAGCATTCTTCTATATCATTCTTTATACATATAATCGTTACCTGTGCAGTATCCCAAGTCTGTGTAGATATTCAATAGCAGAAACAATCTGTCGAATAAATTTCTTTGCCTCCCTCTCTTCAAGTTTCTTTCGCTGACAAATATAGTCCATAAGATCACCTCCTTTACACAGTTCAGTCACGAGGTAGTAGCTATTTTCGGTTTCCATGATTTCAAACAACTGTACGATGTTCGGATGTCTTGCCAGTTGAAGAATTTTACCTTCACGTCTAAGATTTTTCCGGACATAGCTGTCTTGCTTCGCCCTCTTTTTATCAATTACTTTTATGGCAACCTTCAAACACACAAAAGAAAAACATTTTGAAAAAACAGGAGATAGCAAAATATGTTTTTATCGAAGTAATATAAATATAAAAGTTACACCTATAATAAAAGCACACACAAACTCAAAAAAAATAACAAAACAAACAATTTGCAATGGCGAGTTGTTACATAAAATATTGGACAATTGAAACTAACGTTGGCTCAAAAAGATAAATGCAGGTAAGGTAATCATTTGATAAATGTAGGTTAGGTAATCATTTGATAAATGTAATTTAGGTAATTATTTGATAAATATAGGTAAGGTAATTATTTAATAACTAGGTTAGGTTATCATTTGATAAATGTAAGTTAGGTAATTATTTGATAAATGTAAGTTAGGTAATTATTTGATAAATGTAGGTTAGGTAAGCATTTGATAAATGTAGGTTAGGTAATTATTTTGAAAAGTTGACAAAAGTTTTCTTTGTTATCCGGTTAATAAATAAACGCAGCGGTTTAGCTACATCATTACTAATGCATTGAGGTTTTAGTCTGTTTTTTTGTTTGTTTTCTTTTCCTATGAACAGCCAATATAATTAGAGACATCCACCTTTGTGCTCGTTTATATTGTTAATTTATGGCTCATCCATATGTATTTGTTATATATGCATTTATCATATCAAGATCAGTCCAAGGGTATGGTATATACCAGTTGCGTGTCGATAATTTGATATGTAACGAAAAGTATGACGATTGATTGTTCTGTTCCATTATTAATGCCAAGTCTACATCACACGATACTGGGTGTTACCTTACCAGTGTATCAGGTGAACTCTGTCGGTATGAATCCCATGTCATGTGTCATGTAATATCCGTTTGTCCCAATATGTATACAACAAGACAAACCCTATATGTTTACAGTATCTGCGATGTCAAATTGTTTAGGGATTATATATTCATAAGCAAATATATTTCAAGTGTTCCTCCTTAGTGATATATCTTATGACAACCCTGCTAATGCTAGTTCATACATGTACGCACACATGATATTTAAATATCTCGATAATGAGGTTATGTTGAATATACAATAACGTCATATCATTTTACTGTTTAGTTCAATTTGTAAACTGTTTAACTGTCAAAAACAGTCTATGCACACATTCTATTGCGCTTGAAAGCATAATAGGATGGTATTTCTGGAAACACAAACAAATATAGTTTATCTCGAGATGAATATTTTAAGTATTTAATGGAACCGTTAAGAATCAGGCACAATTAATTGGGGATTTTTTGCTGCATCTTGTCTGTGGGTTTCTGTTTTTCATATCTTTCTGACGTAATGGCGACATGTTTGAAAAATTTGTTTAAAGAATGACAAAGTTAAACAATAAGAATGTTATATATATAGCTAACGCGCAATACAAATTCGAGGGCAAGTACTATAACGGTAATGAAAGTGAATGAAGAAGGATTTTTCAATTTAAAGTTGAAGATTAATATACTATCTACAACATGACGCTTTTAGATATTACATCGACAGATTATTGATAAACATATGACCTATCAATATGCTGTCCAAAAATACAAAGGCATCTGGTGATAAGTAAAGCCTATACCCACACCGTGTAGAGATATAAACCCGACCATGACACTACTTGATTTCCCTTTCAGTCTGCCTTCATCTAGGCAGTGAGGGCAAGATAAATAAGGACAAAGGGATTCCTACATAAGCTCTGCGGGAGAATATCTTATCAAACGCATATACAATACCTGGCTGTCGGGATTTAAACATACTTCAATTCATTATATAGTTGTTCAATCTTTTGTTGATTCGGGATAATATTTATAGTTTAATTGTTGTTGTATTGTCACACTGACGTCTGCATCATTTATTTTATATTGAGGTTAATAATGAATTAAAGGTCCAATATCAAAGTTGGCAGTACTAAAAGCACATATCCAACTCAAAGGGTTTGTAAATATACTAACATAAATAAGAAAAAAACCTGTTAATGGACCACAGAATGCATAGTATATATAAAAGGTTTTTTTGTGGTACAAATGGACCAATGAAGATTCCTTTGGAATGACAGCTCCATTGAGACGTCGTGAATAACAAATGTTTGAATATGATCGGGTTGTACATACTGTGTCGCTAACTGTCGGTAGAAAAGAGACACAAATGAAAAAAGAATCCCACAGATAGCTTATGATTTTTCTAGTAGTACAGTGCTTTATAACAGCGACACTATGTTGGATCCAAACCTCATAATGGATTAAATGTGATTTTAAATGTAACATAGATATACATCGTAACAACAAAGAGGTCAAATCAACATTGTGAATTGGTTTAAAATATATACAGAATATAATTAGACATAAAATGTTTGTCCGCCCAACCTTAACAAACGAGAGGAAATTGGCAGGTAGAAAGTCAAACATAGCCATAAGTAGCCGTTCTACAAACATGCCTATGTAAAAGTTGAAATCATTGCTTTTTTATTTACATAAAATTTACACACGACTTGATTCCGCTAACGTATGAAGTATGTAAACATTTTACCTAATGAATGACATACATGTACGAGATCTTCCGTGGTGATGGTGGGTTGTTAACTCTCATTTTGCCATATTTTCGGTTCGAGCTAATGTCTTTTCGTATTAAAATAAAACTATATCATTCGCAGTGTATTGACGCCGCTGTAACGTATTTTCCTATATTACCTTAGCTACGGACGTTTAAACAAACTTGGTATAAAAAGTCCTGTATTCCTAGGTTGGCAGAACATATAATTACATGTTAACTCTTTGAATGTGATGTTGTGCGAACCTACGTGCCTTACAATTGATAATAATTTTGTTTTAAATGAAATTTGATTATTTTGAATTGAACGTTTTTAAATATAGATAAAGAAATTTGATTTGTAGGCAATTAACTGTATAAAGATATTAATACGATGAAATTAAATTTATTATGTTTCGAGGTTAAATATAAATTAAACCTCAAAAACCGTTTTGGTACACATTGAAGGCTAGTGGATTAAAAGGAATATTTTGTATTGGAAATCCACACCTAAAAACCAGATTGAACAACACCAAAATGAATTATAATGAATACAATATTTGTATAAAGGATATCGTATAAACCAATCGACAGGCGTGAACACGAAGGACCAATGCTAAATAGGGTACATTTAGGTCTTTTTTTCGAACTGTAGCGTCCCTATATCGTTGATATGCTCAACTGATTAGAAAAAAATATGATTTTTAACATACATAATGTGAACTGTTGTCATCTAGTCTATACCCAGTAATGTACATGGAAATAAAATGTTTCTGGTTCATGAATAACCTAATTACCATGCACGATCAATATAAATAAATCATATTTAACATTTACACAATGACCACATAAAATTTTAGTTTGTGTATTGACGGAATACTATTAAATCATATTAACGTGTTCTCTCTTGTTGATGTGTTGGAAGTATGGCATCGTTATCTGGGTAAATTATTATTGTGACGTCGACGTTGAGGGCAATTACGGAAGTATACAATGAACGTATTCCAAAGGTAACAGTCCTAATGAAAAACAGTCGACCCTACTCTAATATTTCTGACGTCATTTTTTCTTACGACATCCTGATAACATGATTTGAATTCAGTTGTCATTAAAAAATGTAGTGTAGCTGTTTGTTGAAATATATTTACTACTTACATCTCTGTAATTACATTTTACAATGTCTTAAGCGTATTTATGATATTCACTTTCATCTCGTTCACCCACCTATAACCACTTTTCTCTCTGTAGACTTTTTTTTCAGACTGTAGTTGTTTCCAAACCGTTTCATTAATCAGAGAGGAGCATTTTAATATTTTCGTGTAGTGGGTTAAGTACTGATTCAGCAGAAAAACGGGTTCTGATAGAGTGAATGCTACTGCAATACAACATGGATGAATGTAAACAGCATTAACAATTCCTACGTAACAAATACGTGTTTCCGTCTGAAGATCAAAAGAATAAGAATCCTAAAATACACGTATTTTTGGCGTGCCTACCAAAGGCCTATACTTACCAGTTCCCCTGTGGGTACGTGAAGAGCCTCCTTGACCTTGGCGAAGGATCCTTCTCCAATGGTCTTCCCAAGTAAATAGTTTCCGACTTTCTTGGAATGGTGAAAGCTTCGGATGGCTTCCCGAGGGACGTCAACTACCCGTGGAGGTAGGTAGGAGGTGTATCCAGAGAGGCTTGATGTGACGGTCATGACGTGGAGCTCATCAAATACGTTTTAATCAATCCTTAAACTTACACAGGACGTTACAGTATTATGTCGAGGACGTACGATCCATGTATCACATAACTGCCTTTCCGTATGACGTCATATCAAGACTGATCGCTTGGTCATCTTTAAAACAGTCAACAACACTTTAAAATAGTCGAAGTAACGTGATACTTTTGAATCAGAAACTTACAAAATCGTTGTACACGTAAAAGTCGAAATATGCGACATTGTCCAAGAATGTTCTTTTTTTCGTGAGCGGAGACCGCACATGTCTGCCTACTTATGGTCGTAAAGCTGATACAGACTGGTATAATACATGTGTCTGTTGGGTTAATATTGTCTCTGTACACTGCATTCAGTCATCGTTGTTATCAAGCGACTCATACAAGGTGAATATGTAATAATCCTCAAGTATTGCAGAAAGCGTATTAACACTCACAATGTGGTCCAACAATATTGCCCTTTAAAGTCGACATGGCCCCTCTGCACCAGTGCACCTCCCCTGTAGATGTGACGATAGGTACCACCATCGACTAGAGGTACGGCTGCACCGTCTACCAACACAACTCTAAAACAAAAATTAAATGTCATGTAGTGGTATTTCATCCTCAAACTATTTCATTAACTGGCCCGAGTGAACCAACCCACATCTGTTAGGTAGTCTGCGGTATAGGTAAACGATCCCGGTGAATAAGCGCAATCCGAACACAACTCTATTATTCTTTATCCAAAAAACGTTTGGATCAAATGTAGTATATTCTTTATAAGTGAATACAAGTATTGTGTAAGTCCTACAATGAACCTAACATTTGTTGATTTAGATCACATGGCGGCCGTCTGAAGACAAAACTACAGCCGCACACGATCGATTACGATGGAATGATTGTGTACCTTCTATACAAGTATACCCATTCTAAATATACTTATTTATGCAAATATTGCAGGGTTTTAATTTCTCTCCTTACACTGCCGTATAGCAATAGGTCACGCTGCTGTGCCTGTTCATCAAAGACAATCTATATACTATTGCGTCGGAGATTTGGAACTTCAATGTAAACACTTTATTGCTTTCTAAAGCAATACTTTTATTCCAAAGCAATACTTTCTTCATACAGATGGCTTTAACTATTGTAGCTCAGAACGGGATTTCGTCAAGAAAATGTACCAACATCATTATTAGTCTTGAAAGCTGAAAACGACACTATCCATATTTTATGCGGGTATTCTTAACATTTGCAAACATGTAGGCTATTTACACACACATTTTATTCACATTAAAATGTAAGATATCCCTTTGTTCCAATTACTGTACGTTAGGACCCAAGGTGGAATACGAATCATAAAGGGCTGAGCATGGTTATATGATGTGTAAACAATCACCTGTCTGACAAGTATCCAAGGTAAACAGAGCGTATTTAGTTTGATATCACAAATTACAACATAAAGAGGGGTTTGTGTTTGGATAAAGTAATCTTCAGTTCACGTGTACGTTACATGCCGAGTGACAATGGTCTATGTCAGGTAAGGTCATCAAAAAGAGACTCGAGATCGTGGACACTTAGCAAGTCAAGTGTACGAAACATAGCAACCATCAAGACTGTATAACACATGACCGGAGACCGGGTATGTTCGTGTACTTGCCTCCTTGTGATAGCGCAGATCTGATGCCGACATTTTAGTGCTATCTCACTGAAATACAATGCCCAACTGGTTTATTACTAATTTCAGCACCTGTATACCTTATTTGATATATTGTTATTAGTTTCCGTAAAAAAATTGTTCCATCCATCTCGGTTATTTAACAATTCGGTTCTAAGGTAACTTAACAAGTACTTCATTGTCTAAAATATACAAAGATTAAAAGGTTTATCTAACTAAATTATTACTGTATACATATAATTGTAAAGATAGATGGCTGAATAATGTGCACTGTATCATAATGTGAGGTCGCTAACGGAGACAACTAAAATAATGTTTTCAATAAAATATCGAGCTTTTTGAAATAACGATCTCTTTTAACATTTCGACATTCCTTCAATCAAAAATAGAAGTTTCATTTTTGTTTTCAATATGTTAATGATATTTTGTTCTTAGTTTCACAATTCAGGCATTTATACTTGTATGTATTAAACGAAATCAAATATATTTTATGACAGTATCATAAAGATTCATATCAAAGAAGAAGCATGCCTTTAGATAGGCAGAGTTCAAGTGTCAGCAAATGACCATTAGTTAAAGTCAAGAAGGAGAGGTCAAGCAGCTTCGTGTACTGAACTGGCAGCGTATGGAAAGGGACAAGAGGAATGTGTGTGTAACAAGTAAGATTAAGGACAATCTATTGACAGAACAGTGGACGACTGCAAAAATGGAAAAATGAAAACGAGACAATCACCTGTGATTATAGAATAGATACACGAACATGGCGACTCCAACATCACGAGAAAAATCCTATTTATACAATGAAATATAAATATTTGATTTACTTATGTTATCGATGTATGTTTGTATGTCCCTATCATACTTTGTGTCACTACACACGACTTAGACACTCAATTGTCTTGTTGACAGTGTTATTTATGTAGGCCAACTGATGTTCCAGTGCAATGTTCCGGAGACAGTACATGTCACAACATAATAAATACCCATGTAACGAAAAGTCAATCGCTTGACTTTATAACTGTAACAGTACGAGGGATTGACACATCGACAATGGATCCAGTCTGGAAATCACGTGGAACGTATCTAACTTGATATTTCATATTTTTTATCAATAGGACATTCATATAGTTTGAGCACATTTAAGCAAATGAAGTCAACTTTAAAAATTCTATTCTGCATTACTTTTGAAATTAAAAAGGAAGGAAACGCTGTTTTTATGAAAATGAACTATAGTAAAACTAAATCAAGCTATACACACGTGCAGTACAGCCTGCTTAATACACAAGATAGGTACAAATATCAGCCTTATTTTTAGTTGATGAGAGTTTGTTAATGATACCCACAATGTATATCATTCAGACGTTCTATATATTTTCGATCTGTTAACGAAACATGCTTGTAATTAGATACGTCTATTTAAAGGGAAATGATACTATCGGTGTTAAACTGGATGTAATGACTTCCGAATAAAGGGCCTTTGACGTCGACGTATTGATACTTGTCCTCATCGTTACCAGCGATAATTAACAGTCGCTACCGAGGCACAGGGCAGAAATAGCAACCGTCTAACATAAACCTATCATTATACTCGGTGTGTAATTAATGATTGAAATCGATGGGGAAAAGAACTTGTGGTCCCTGACTTTTTCACCTGTCACCTAGATCTTAATCCCTTATATATATATGTCTTAAAATTAATTACGAGGAAAAATTCATGTGTGAACGCCTAGCTACACAACAAAAAGCATGTCTACAATGGGTATTACAGGTTATAGTTAACTGGAAAGTTGTCACACATAGGAGCCTGCATTCAGGTGTAATTATATATATCTGTAATAAGCAGGATCTCGGTGTGAAAAACACAATTTTATGGTTTTAACGCTATATAGTATCGGTATACATAAATAACCCTAAACGCCGATTCCACTTGAATTTCCAGTTACTTGTGAGCATTTACATTTGTGTGATTATACTAATCCCTATTACTCCTTTTTCTATTTACATGTTTCACATGAGTTCATTCCACCAATAAGAATCTGACTTTGCTATCAACAATCTAAATTTTGTATTACATCGCAGACCGAAAGTTAACACAGGTTAACGACAGGGACAGTTACACTTACCACGTGCATGAGCTTATAGACAGACAGAACGCGTGTGTAAAACAGTAAGGACACGGCATGACACAAGTTACAGACAGACAGAATACGTGTGTTAAACAGTAAGGACACGGCATGACACAAGTTACAGACAGACAGAACACGTGTGTTAAACAGTAAGGACACGGCATGACACAAGTTACAGACAGACAGA